CTGGTAATGACACAGCCAACCCACTCACTGTGTTCTCCTCCTAAGTGAGAGCTGAGCCTCTCTCCATTTGTGCAATGTTGCAGCAAATCTGGCATTTATCCTCAATTATGGAGGATTATTGCAGGGAGAGAGAGGAATTCTGTGAGATTTGCTTGTTTATCGAGGATCTGCCTTTAATATCACCTAAGCTGGAGGTAATTGCTGCTGCCTGGGCTCCTCTGCAATGATTATTCAGCAGCACAGGTGCAGCATTTCAGGTGCTGACCCAGCTTCCTGCTCACACAACGATGTTTGGTGCTTCTTTTCCATGGATACGGTGCCACCTGAGTCCCCTCTGCTGCCCATTCCCAGAAATCTTCCCGGAAAGGCTCTTTATGGTGTTCCCTGCCTTTTGGTCAGGGTGTCCCTCTGGGGAGTGGCCAAGTCTTGTTCAGAACAACCCACAGGCCCCAAACTGAGTCCAGGTCCAGCTGGCCGAGCTTGGAATCTCCTGGGAATGCTGTGCAAGCTGCTCCACCCCTGGCACAGCCTCCAGGAGAACAGAAACCCGGGATAACAATCTCCGCCCCCCCGGGCGGTGTCAGGTGCGAGTTGTTCCTCAGATTAGATTGGATTCTTGGAGCTCAAGGGCACAACCACCACCCCTCATGTAAAATGGATGTCAGAGGTAACGAAACCTGTGTAAAATGAGACGCTAAAACAATTTCCCAGGGTTTGCCCAAGGGAGTCTGGGAGAGGAAACGGGATTTGCTGCAGCCCTGAGTGAAGATAGGGAGGAAGGAGGGTTTTCTTGAGGTCACGGGGATGTCTGAGGGGACGTGGCAGGACTTGCAGGGAAGCAGGAGAGAGACAAAATGATGGCAGAGAAGGAATGACGGGAGGGAGCACTCGGAGGGTGGAAACCTGAGAGCCAACAAACCGCTGGAGTTGTGCTGCGCCGAGGAGAAGCGGGCTCGGAGGGAGCTCTGTGAGCAAACAAGGATCACATCAAAGGGATTCCTGACGCCACCATCAAAGCGAGGTGTGAGGCCGGTCACTGGATCAAAGTTAATCCGCCTAATTTCAGGGTAAATTGTGCAGAATTTAGGAGGCAACGAAAAAAAAATCCAGTTTTGCGTCACTCTTGGAGCTGGTTAAAATGTCCCCGGAGCTCGGGCTCGCTCTGCA